TTAACTGAAGCTATTTAAATACCCAATTTATGTGAGTCTCCTGCATGTGAAAAGTTCTGTATGGCGGAGCTCAAACCATGATAAGCGTCCCTTACCCTTTAACTGTCTGATCCTAAATTTTATGGATCAGTTCACAACAGTATCTTACAGTTAAAATTACACATTCTTTTAGTATTTATTTGGTACCAAATAACTCATCCACCAGTAATCAACTATTTAAAAAAAATAAGATCTTAGGACTAATTAATAATAAAGCTAAAGATATGAATAAAATCAAGTAGAGAAGAAATTTAAGAAAGAAATTTGGCAGAATAACAGTACCGTTAAAATTTTCAAAAGAATAGTGAAAAGAAGAGAAAATGAGAGAAAGTTTTTATCTTTCAATATTACATTTTTTTTTTCTTCTCTTGGTCTCTCTCTTTCTGATACTCTATTTTTTTCCCCTTCTTCAGTTAACAACCCCACCTTCATGTATATAGGCAATCCAATTGACTCCTTTTTGACTTGGCCCATTATTACATATATTTAGATTCTAATCAAATTAACTAAATTTCTTTCAAATCTAACTATCCTTTAACAAAAGCAATCATTAAGAATCTTATTACATCTACCTCATCTTCCACGTTGCCTCTTCTAGATTAGTCCTTATTGTTATTTTTTATTTATTTGGTGTATATAAGGATAACTATAATGTTACTAATAAAATAATATTTGTATTATATACCACGTAATCTTTTATTGCATATAATAGATAGCTTATATATACAATGTTATAATTTCTTTTGTTATTTATTTATTTTTTAAATTATTATAATACAAATAATAATATTATTTATTGAAAACCTATAATATTTACTTATATATATATATATTTAATATTTCTTTACTACTATGTTATTTTATTTTATTTTTATTATATTGTTTTTATTTATTTATTTTACTATTTAATTGATTATTATTATTATGTAAACATATATATGTATATATGCTAATCAGCGCTTTGAGCGCTTACTTCCTTTGAAGGTTCACGTTGCAAGCGCAGCCTTTGCGCTGCAGGCGTGAACGTATTATTATTATTTTATTTTTTTTAGTATTACAAAAATACTTGGAAGGAGTTACGAGAAGAGATGTTTGAGAGATTTAAAAGTGAGATACAAAGTACAACATGTGGAAAGGGGTTGGGAGGGGATATTTATAGGGAAGGAGTAGGGGATAGATGGTTAGGATGCTATCATGTGGCAACATATGGTAATGACCACCCAACAAGATTATTTGGCATCGAAGTCACACTGGCCATAGCATTATGCACTTCAATAGATATATAACAAATTTCCATCCCTTTTCATTATATTTTTTATTATTTTGATAAAAAGTTGTTATATTCCAATTTCTTGTAAGTGATTGAAATTTCTTATGATCCTAATTAGGGGTGACAATTTATTTCACAACCTACTGACACAACACAAATTTTCGTGTTTGGATTGACCTGTATTACATTCATATTGTGTTTGTCTTAATAAAAAATGACATTAAAATTTTCGTGTTATATCATGTTGTGTTGACAACACAATATTAGTTAAAATAATATTCAGTACATATGTTATTCATGTTATGTCAACTTGTTTAATAAGAAAGACACTTTGAGATATTGGTGTCATGTCATTCAACCTATAAAATAAAGGGAGATGTTATACTTACTATCTCTTTTTCTTACTACCTCTTACTACTAAATCTTAACCGTTGATTTCCGTCAATTGAATAGTTATAATTTATTGATAATTAATAATTAATTAATAAGTATGACCCAATAAATTATAACCGTTAGATTGACGGAAATCAACGGTTAAGATTTTGTAATAAGAGATAATAAAAAAAGAGGTAATAAATATAATCTCTCCCTAAAATAAATAGGTCGTGTTTATATAAATATATTCATATTCATATCAGATATATACATGATACAAATACAACCTACTAACACGAGTTACCATTAGGAGTGTTCATCAACCGATCCAAACCGATTCAAATCGCGGTCACCGAACCGAAAAACCAAACCGAATAAACCGAAAACCGAAAAAAAACTGCAAATTTTAATTGGGTTGGATTGATTTTCAGTTTGGTTGATGAAAATCGATCCAATATATTAATTCTCCTTTACCTACTTGGGTCTTTCCCCAATCATAGCCCAAAAATTTCTAAACCCAAGATCCATTAATCCATTAACTAAACCCAAGAAAAAAATTTAGTCACATCTCATCAACATAATTTCATCTATGTAGAGCTTTATATTTCATTGTCCTAAAAAAATTATATTATTGTTTACTTATGCTTTTGTATTTCAAAAAATAAATAAATTATAAAGCCAATATATACAAAAGATGTCATTTGCACAATAATTATGAAACAAATTTTAGGATTTTAAAAAAATTGAAAACCGATCCAATCCAAACCCGATCGGATTTGAAAAAAAAGTCCAAACCGAATGGATGATTACATGATCAAACCGCAGGGATTGGATCAGATGATTTTTGCTTCCAAAACTGATCCAATCTAGACCGCGAAGATCCCTACTTACCATCTAATCTTGACCATTAAATATGAGTGATTATAGTCAGTTACCTTTAAATATACTTTGACTTGTCATCTTTAATTGTTTTTTGACTTTTTTATTATATAATTATAATTTTCTTTAAATACTATTTAGTTTTTAAAACATAAATTGAATTTTTTATTATAATTCAATTTACAACCAATTTTAAATATACTTTGACTTTTTATTATAAAATAATAAATTTCTTTAAATACTGTTTACTTTTTTTTTAAAGAAAAAAAACACAAATTGAAGACAAGTAGTGATGAGCAATAAACTAGTAAAATATAAAAGTTGACAGCTTGATGGCATCTAATTCAAATTTTGTAAAAAATAAATAATAATAAATAAAATTGGACCTGACTGTCAATGTATAGTTTAGGAACTGTTTAAGTTCCGTTTGTGATTTTTTAAGAAAAATGTATTTTTTAAATTAAAAAATATGTTTAAAAAGGATTTTATGATTGCCAAATTAGTGATACTCTTGTCCAACTAATAACATCATATAGGCTTTAAATAGTAAAATATATTATTAATAATAAGTGGTTAACAAATTAATGGTTTAAATTTCAATATGAATAATAAATTATGAGATTGTAAGAATCTATATTTTCAATTGTCTCATTAATAGCTGCTATTTATATTCATTGGTACAATAGTTAATGAGGTTGAAGAAGTTCCCTGAATAAGAGGGTCTTACCAATCAAGATGCAGGCAGGTTCATGTGATAATAAATTAGCATGAGTTTCGTTTATCACGTGAACAAGTGATTCACGCATCTAATCCAACATTAAAATAAGTGGTATAAAATTAGGAAAAAGTGTGTGTCATTTTAAAAGATGTAAAATTGTGTCATTTTAAGAGAGAAAAAGAGAAAGATAAAGGAGGAGAGAGAGTTGATAAAAAAATAAAGGTGTGAGTTCCACCTCTTTGTGCGAGTGAAGAGATATAAGTTGTGTCATTTAAAAAGATAAACACTTTTTCCATACAATTATTATGTTGAACAACTAATACGTTAGATTAGATGCACAAATCAAGTGTACGCTAAAAGTATGCGATTAAAAAGAAAAATAAATGTAATTGTCATAAAGTTTCATGAGATTGTGGACCTTGCATGTTCTTCTATTCTCTTCTCCTCATGGATACGATTGTGTAGGGTAGACAGTTATGTCACATCGCCTTTATTTTTTTTAATAGAAGAGTTTAAGGAAACAAGAGAATGATTCAATCTAGAGCTAGTATATGCTATAAAGAGCTAGTATATGCTTATAAGTTTCAGCTATAATAATTGTTAAATGACTTAATAATGAAGGTTACCATCACGATATCAAACATAAGACATTCCATCAGTTCAGATAGTTCAGCCAATCATTATTGATCCGTGTGTGTGCTGTATACTTCTCTTACTCTCTACAAAATCCTTTTCAATTTCGTCCAAAAATTTAATCACATCATAAACGAAATTAAAGCGAAAAACAAAAATGTTCTATATAATTAAAGTACTACATATTTAATATTGTAAATCAAGAAACAATTATCTTACTCTAATAATATTTAAAAGAGAAAACTTTAATATTTTTTTAAAAGACATAACTTAAAATGACTTATATTTATTGGTTTTTTTACATTATCTCTTCTTAACAATTCCTAAATTTGTGAAAAAAATGTAAAAAAATAACAAATATACACTAAAACATTATCATTTTATTTAAAACAACACAAAATTATATCCTAAATACTTTTTCCTCGGTTCGAATCCCACCAACACTATCTGGGGAGGGGCATAAGTACCGTAATCCTTGGACTCGCACCCGAACTCTGGATTAGTCCCATAGGCAGCTCAAAGAGTCGAACCCGTGAAGATACCAAGAGATTCTGATTCGCCTCAAAGAGGTAATTAGGATCAGTTTCCAAAAAATAAATACTTTTCCCTAACGTCTCTAACATCAAACATATAATATCACTTAACGGGACTATTCATGAAAAAATTGCTAGCAAACAAAAAAAATCAAGTCTAAGGTTTGAATTAAACTTCAACTTCAAATACTTTTTGAAATCTTTAAACTGGTATGCATAAAAAATATATTTTATTGTTGCATTAAATATATAAGCATTAAATATAAAAAAAAAAACAAATACGAGCATAGTAATATTCTAGGGAATCTATTTAATGTTTTATATTTTATATTCTTTATTATTTATTATAAGAAACTGAACCAACCGTTTCGATGTTGAAACTTATGGATATATATCTATTAATTTTCATTTTTTTCCCTCCTTTGTTTGTATCCTCTTTCTTCTCTTTCACATAAAAGCTTCCCCTTCTTTCTCTGCAAATCCGTCTTTTTCACAATGATCTGCATTCTCCGAAGAACCAATTTCTGAATCTCTCTCTCTCTCTCTCTCTAGAATGGAGTGTGTCTCTGAAGATTGCTTCGATAACACTCAACGTCCCTACTCAGAAAACAGCGACCAGCGACTCTATTTCGTTCCTCACAGGTCTCTTCCTTTTTTTCCTTTTTTTTTTTTTTTATCTTACTTCAATTTCCGAACCGCAATTCAAACATTTGCTTCTCAATGATTTCACATGAATCAATCTCAATTCCAATCAATAGCGTTCGAGGAGTAAGTTGTTTGTGTGTGTGTGTGTGTGTGTGTGTTTCATGTTTCAGGTGGTGGAAGGAAGCGCAGGATTCAATGTCTGCGGGTTCGGATGTGAAGAAAGGGGTTTTGTATACAGCATTGCCTGGTTCGTCTTATGCGGGTCCTATGAAGATCATCAATAACATTTTCAATTCAGATCTTGTGTTGAATCTTCGGATGGAGGATAAGGATTCGCTACACAATCTTGAAAATGGTGAAGTAGGTGTGTCTGGACGGGGATTTGCTTTGGTTTCTGGGGAAATGTGGTTGAAGGCACTCAAGTGGTGAGTGTTTTTAAATAAAAAATAAAATAAAATTATATATAAACTTGAGTGTGTTTGTGTGTATTTGAGGAAAGATGGTAGAAGTAAACTGTATGAGGTTTTGGTTAGAATGTGCATTGATGCAACTCATTGGTCTCAACTCAATTGTGCTGTTTTGGATCCCACTAACTGTGTGCAATTTAAACAGCTGGCTTGACATTGTTTATTGTTCTACTGTGTGAAACTCCACTAGGTTTTCATATTTATGGTACAGTTTAATGCCCTCTCTTCATGGTTATTTATGCCATTTTTTACAATAGTCTTATTACAAACCGTGTTTGAGGTTTTTTTTGAGGACAAACAATTTCAAGTCTTAGATTTGCAGCCATCATTGATTTCTGTTCCTGTGGCAAATTAGTTCTATCTTTTCCATACTTGGAATTCTAGCATATGATTCCTTTAAATATTTGGTCAAATTAGGGTTTTTACTTGGTGATACCTGAAAGCTGAAGTAGTATAGGTAAGGTGGTCGGAAATTTTTTTCTTACTTTTCATGGCCATTTCAATAATTTTTTTATTGCTATTAGATGATGAACTTATTTATTTATTTACTTTTGTTTTTGTTAAACATTAATTTAAGTGCATTTCTTTGGGAATATGAATTTAAAAGTTTTGCATATTGATGACTACTTTTCCTGGTCTGACTGGAGATGTTTGTGGACAAACTGTAATTATAGCTACAGAAATTTTGTTTCATTTTTTTTTTTTTTTTTAAATTTGTTCCTGGTGGAAAAAAGTTAAGGAGTGGGGAGGCTACGCCATTCCAAGGCCAGGGCACTCCACAAGCCTCCAAGAGGACGGACAACACTAATTACATATCGCCTACCAAGGGATATAAATTTAATTTCAATAGGTGATCACTTTTTTCAAAAAAAAAAAAAAAAGGGCGCTAGGAACCCTTGGGCTGCTTCAATTATTGTTTTGAAATTTAAATTAATCCACTTCACAGGGACCTAAAGTTTGCAGCATATTCTTGATGGTAATTTTTGGGCACAGCCATTGCCTGTGAAAAGCTTGCAAGATAACCAAATTTATCACCTTTAGGGACTGGTGTTAAAGACGAGGTGTTAAAGATGAGAGGGCTAGTGGAGTTATTACATTTTTCATTGGATTCTCAGTGTTTGGGATTTTTCTTCTCCATTAGCTTTTACACCAGTCAAGTACTGGTAGCTAACTCTAAATGTTTAATAAAAGTAGTTTGCTTGACAGTTAATTATCTAGTTATCTCCTAAATGAGTATGCCATGATTGTATCATGTATTATATATGTAACACATAACCTGCAACTTAAAATTGCTGGTATGTTTTCGATGACAGAATGAGCAGGAATTGTGTTCATTCTCTCTCCAGGAATGAGCAGTGACATCCAAATTTAAGGCTGAATAAATGCACATGACGGAGTAGTTACATGGATTCAGAGATATAGATGTGCACACATTTGTAAACTTGCTTCCATTTTTAATGTATAGTAGAACTCAGAATATGAAAATATTATTTTTGGACGCTTGTAACAATTCTTATGTGATATTCTTTGATTGAGTTCTATGGAACTTGAGTGCGAGAGGAAGACCTTTGTTTTATATTACATAGGATTAAAGTTGTAATTACAGAATAAATTTTGACTATTCATCATGTACGGCAGGTAACTCAAACAGAGATGTATGTGTGTATTTATGTAAATATTGTTACTTTATATAATTTTTGTGGATATAAACTTGGTAAAATTGATGCATAATTTATGAGCATACTATTGCTATTTTTATTTGTTAAGAACTGACATATTTATATGTCTCTGTTTTATGGTAATATTTATGCTTCCTACTTGATATAGAATTTCCAGTAGTGAATGATGTGTTTATTTTAATAAGTGGATAAGATATTTATTGCTATTTATAATTTGCTAGTACTAGTTTTTAATGTTGACCCTTTAAGATTGTTCATGATTCTAGATGCAACTCATGAAAGCTTTTTGACATTTGGAATATTTTGTTACTTACATGTTCTTTATTACATCTTTTGATATTTCCTTTAGGCATAGTGATTCGAAAAATGCATTGAAGGATGAAAGAGGGTTTTCAGCTACTGAGGATGATATAGCAGATGTTTATCCTTTACAGCTAAGGCTTTCTGTTCAGAAAGAAACAAATTCATTGGGATTAAGAATAAGCAAAAAGGTAAATATCTCTCTTCGCAGGTAGTTTTTGATTCCTTATAGCATTGCTTTTGTCTTAGAGGTATCTAATGGTAAGCATTTGGATTGACCATCCTCATTTTATTTGTCATTTTTTTTGGTAGACATATTTCTCATTTTTTTAGTTATATTTTTTCATGGAATGCTGATAGATACATTCTATATATGTGTGTGTGCGTTTCATCATTTTCTGTTTTATGATCATTTAGAGTTCACAACTGAACATTTTCTATCTGTACTTAAAGTTCATGTCTGAGTTTGGTGCACCATGATGTTTTGATGAACCTATGTCCTGGAGGGTAACACAATAATAACCATGATATAATTATATTGTTGTTTTTATATAATTTAGCCCTATATGAGTGCGTTTATATCCATAAGGTTTTAGGGAATCATTGTTTTTATTTTTTATTACCATTTTATTATTCAAATCCTAACCCGCTCTTCCCATTTTCCCCCTTCTTTCTAGGACAACGCAGTTGAGCTCTTTAAAAGATCCTGTAAAACATTCAGTGTGGATTCAGAGATGGTAATATAATATTCTATTGCTGTTCTACTTATCAATTTTTTTTTTCTTAATATATCTTCTTGCTACTGCAAGAAATTGATAATTTTCTTGTTATTGCACAGTTATACATTTGGGACTTTTCAGGTCAGACAATGTTATTTTTTGCGAAGGACAAAAACGGGTTCCCAACAGACTGTCAAAGGCAGTCTGAGGAGGTAAGCGGCATTATATTTTGATTAAAAAATTTCTGTTTGTGCTTGTATCTTTCTGTACTCTGTCTTCATATTTCAGAATTTTATTTTTAAAATTTTCCCCAGTATCAGGGTTGAATGTTTGTTATGTCATATATCCCATAACCATTTGGTGGCTTAGCATGCTGTTTATCTAAGATTAAGGTTTTTTGGATCTTAGGACTGTGGGATGCTTTAATAGTTATTTATAAAATTTATATGAAAAGGACACCATGGCACAATGTGACTTGGATATAATATAAACCAAAGGGCTCTTATGTGAGGAGGTGTGTTAGAGAATAATATAAACTATTAAAAAGGCCCTCACCCAACACCTTAAGTTTTCGAGTTGAAATGGTTCTTTACATGGTATCAGAGCTTCAGTGACCACAAGGTCAGGAGTTTGATCTTCACCTCCCCTCACTTGTGGAATTAAATAAGCATAAGGTAAACAAAAAAAAAGAAAAAAATTAGGCCTATGCAATATTTACGCTTTAAGCCCGAAGGGCTCTTGCGTGAGGGAGTGTGTATAAACCATTAAAAAGGTCTTCACCCAACACCTTAAGGTTTTGGGTTGAATTGATTCTTTACACAATAGTTGGTGTTGATGTCATGTGACCTAGAGGTCACAGGTTCAAATCATGTAATCGGTATCTTGAAAACGAAATGTAAGGCTGCCTAATATAGACTCACACAATGGGTTTGAACCTTTCTTGGACCCTGCGCATAGCAGGAACTTTATAGCACAAGTTTTCCCTTTTTATAGAAATAAGTGTTGAGGTGTGTTCCTTCATTAATACTTAGTGGCTAAGCATGCACTTCATTTATGGATGCATGACTCAATGTCTGTTCAACCACCTCAATGAATGTTGTCCCACTTATCATTGATGAAGATTCTAGAAGAAGATTTAAGGTTTCTCTTCACCTTATAAATCAATTGAAACCTCTTGTAACGAAGAAGAATTTTGAGTGTGAGAATCCTCTGAAGAGAAGATTGAGAGTGAGACATCTTTAGAGAAGAACCTTGTAACCATCATTGTTAGTGAAGTTTGAGTGTACCTTTAGTGTGACTAGGGAAGTTTGATCTCCTTGTAATCCTACTATTCATAGTGGAAGATTTTCTAGACTAGTGTTCTGTGATTTTTACTTCTCTGCATTAGAGAAGATTTTTCACGTTAAACTTTGCTGTGTCTTTTTTTTCCATCTTTCGTTTACTGGACTTTCTTTGTTTCTACGTTTTTGACCGATTGGTGGTGTTAGACCGGTTGATAGTGTTGCCAACCACCGACCTGTACCACTTGTTGATTTTAGACAAATTGCTTGTGTTGCCGACCGGTAACACTTGTTGAGCCGGGTGGTTAGCTATTGTGTCAGGCAATAAGTTAATGTGCCGGGTGGTAAGCTCATGTACCAGGCGGCATTGCCGATCGAGAGAACTGCTTCCGCATGAACTATTTGAAGGACCATGTCCAAACAATAAGATGCAATAGGGTCTAGTTCGACAACTTGCAAGTCTTCCTGCACCACTTTATGTTTCTTTTCCCTTTGATTTTTGTTTGGGGTGCAATATTTTTTATCATTGCATATAATCAATGGCTTTGGAAAAACTTTAATTATGCAAATATGTGTCAATATTGCGTATTGCTGTAATGAAACGTGACATTTGCATTTTATTGTGTTGGGTACCAGTGTCATTCATTTGTTGTGCTAGAATCAAGATCAAATCTTTAGGGTTCAATCATACTTGGGTTTATTTACATGTGATTAGATATTAGTTAGGAGTTTGAACAAATGTTTAACAATTATAGAAGCTATGAATTTTCTTAAGATTGTCCCCATACAAGTAGAAATTTATTTTTATCCCCTTTTCTCGCAAGTTCTTTATTGATAATTAAATTCGTCATTTTGGTTTCCTGCTTTAATCTCAGTCCTTGACCAGGAATGACCCTTTAAACTCTATTTGTAGATGCAACAGTGTTGGTCAGTGACTGTAGTTTTGTAATGTGCTGAATGTTTGAGGCAAAAATCATAATTTCTTGGAAGTTGATAACTTGTATTTTATCATTTTATGTCTGCTTCAAATGACCTTACTAGATTTTCTTTGGAATCTTTATTTGTTATCGTTACAATACAATAGCTTGTCTTGAGTGTCCCACTATGACCCCTAGTTAATATTTATGATAATAACTTTACCTTATGAATCATTGGGAAATAGCTATGATTCTATTAAATGCTTTACATGCCATATTAATGCATGACTGTGAATGATGTACAGATTTTTCTAGAGTTCCAAGTTTACGGTTTGTCTGACTCATTGAGATGTAGCGAAGGGAAAAAAGATGAGATGGCAAGCTTTTCTAGCAGTGCTTCACTGAAGATGAATGGTAGCGTTGGTAGTATGAATACTAATTGTATCCATGCCAATTCTTTGACCTTCTCTTTACGCCCTGGCGAAGCTGGTTCCTTGGGCTTAACTGGATTACAAAACCTAGGAAATACCTGCTTCATGAACAGTGCCCTCCAGTGCTTAGCACATACGCCAAAGCTTGTTGACTATTTTCTTGAAGATTATGGAAGGGAAATAAATCATGATAACCAATTGGGCATGGATGTATGTTATCATTTTTTAGCTGTTTATGATTTATTAGCTTGATATCTTTATAAATTCTCTTGCGGGGAACTTCTATGCTTAGCTTGTCTTTCACCTTTTTATTCTTTTCTTGGTATATGCTCCTTTGCCAGGGTGAGATAGCTTTGGCATTCGGAGATTTACTTAGGAAGTTATGGGCTCCTGGAGCGAGTCCTGTGTCACCAAGAACTTTCAAATCAAAACTTGCTAGATTTGCACCTCAATTTAGTGGATGTAATCAGCATGATTCCCAAGTTAGTGCATCTTGCTTCTTCATTCTATTTTTTACATGTTTTTAACTTTACGAGGTTCATTTCTCATGTACCTTCAATTGTCTGCTATATATTTATATATATTTATTGGGACATGTTATATTTACAAACTTTTTTGTTTACAAACTCTTACAAACTACACTAAGTACGACCGGTCATATTTAGTGTAATTTGCAAAAAAAGTTTGTAAACAGATCCTATCCCATATTTATTTATATATATATATATATATTTATTTATTTATTTATTTATTTCTACAGGAGCTTCTTGCTTTTTTATTGGATGGACTTCATGAAGATCTGAATCGTGTTAAATGTAAGCCTTATATCGAAGCCAAGGATGGGGATGGTCGAACAGATGAAGAGATTGCTGATGAATATTGGCACAATCATTTGGCTCGCAATGATTCTATCATTGTTGACGTGTGCCAAGTATGTTTCCATCCATGTGCAATTGCAGTACTATTTACTTAAGTAGGTTAAGAACCTCATAGTTCCTTGGTGGTTATTAAGTAATTATTTATAGAATCTTCTTTGCAACATTTATGATTTACTATTTTACTAATATAAATAAACAATGGGGTTTATTAGTCTCCTTTTGTAGGAAGGTTTTTCTCTTATGTCACACTCACAAACCAGCAATGGGACCCACCAAAATAAGAAAGAGAAAAAAAAATTAAATGGACCCCACGTTATTTTTCAGTGTGCAGGAAAAGAATGCTGTCTTATGTGACAGAAGATTAGTAAAACCCATAAACAATAACCTAACAGAGTTCAATCTAGTGCTTTAAGTGATTGACTATGGTTACGTAAGAGGTTTTTATATTTGTGTGTCATGCCAAATATATGAGTTCCAAAAATTATATCATGAAGTGTTTATACTCTTAACAGATTTATACTTGTTAGAAATAATATTATTTTATTATTATTAGAATAGTCTAGATTGTGGGCTTGGCCCATTAGGTCATCCCATTAGGTCTTTTTAGTCTCTATAAATAGAGAGCCTCCTTGTACAGACTTACACACTTGAATATACAATATATTTCAGATTCAATTTGGTATCAGAGTCTCGCCGCCCCCCACTTTCTCTTGTGGTATTTCTTAGCACAGGTAGGATGGGCCTGTTGCATTGTCCACTCTTCAAGCCCAATGGGCTCTCGTGTGAGGGGGCGTGTTGAGATATGTAGTCCCACATTGGTTGTACGTGCAACTAATGTGGAGTTTATAAGGCCTTGGGCACTCCCAAATCTTGCGCAATGATAATGCAAAAGAGTATGTGTCTCTTGAATTTTCTAAATTTTTGGATACACATGGGACGATACACCAGACTACTTGTCCCCACACTCCACAACAAAATGGAGTCGCTGAACGTAAAAATAGACATCTAGTTGAAACTGCACGTACTCTTCTCATTCATATGAATGTCCCACTTCGTTTTTGGGCAGATGCTATTATCACCTCATGTTTCCTTATCAACCGCATGCCCTCTTCTGTGCTAAATAATGATGTTCCCCACAGTATTTTGTTTTCCGGAGCACCTTCTTATCCTCTGCCTTTACATATTTTTGGCTGTACTTATTTTGTTCATGATCTTACTCCAGGTAAAGACAAGTTGACATCCAAGGCCTTCAAATGTATTTTCCTTGGGTATACCCGTTTTCAAAAAGGGTATCGTTGCTATTCACCTGATCTCAAGCGTTATATCGTTTCTGCTGATGTCACTTTCCTTGATCAGCAGCCTTTTCACTCTACTCCGTCTCCAGTGTCACAAGTTGATCAGGTCCTTCCTGTTCCTTTTCTTGACTTGTCTTTACCAGCTGCAGGTGCCCCTATTCCAGAGGAGCAACCAATTACCTCCATACCTGCAGATCGTCCTCTCCTCACATACCAGCGTCGTCAGCCTGCACCTCCTCCGACTTTGCCTCTTGATGACTCATCGCCTTTTCCCGTCGGCTCTTCTCCTCCGGATCCTCCATCAGAGACTCCTCCCATTGCCCTTCGGAAAGGTATTCGACCCACTCGAAATCCTCATCCCCTTTATTCTTTCTTGAGTTATGACAGACTTTCTTCACAACATTTTACTTTTGTTTCTAGTCTCTCTTCTATTTCCATCCCTAAAACCACAGGTGAAGCACTATCTCATCCAGGGTGGCGCCAGGCGATGCTTGATGAAATGCAGGCACTTCACTCTAATGGCACTTGGGATCTTGTTCGTGCTCCTCCCGGGAAGTCTGTTGTTGGTTGTCAATGGGTGTTCACAGTTAAAGTTGGTCCTGATGGCACTGTTGATCGCCTTAAAGCTCGCTTAGTGGCCAAGGGATACACACAGATCTTTGGTCTTGATTATGGGGATACCTTTTCTCCTGTTGCTAAGATGGCTTCTGTTCGCCTGTTTCTTGCCCTTGCCGCCATTCATCACTGGCCTCTTCTCCAACTTGATATTAAGAATGCTTTTCTACATGGTGACTTGCAGGAAGAAGTTTATATGGAGCAACCACCAGGTTTTGTTGCTCAGGGGGAGAATTCTGGAATGATATGTAAACTTCGGAAATCTTTATATGGCCTGAAGCAATCTCCTCGGGCCTGGTTTAGCCGCTTTAGTTCAGTTGTTGAATCCTTTGGCTTAATCAGAAGCAAAACCGATCATTCTGTCTTTTACCGGCATAGCTCTTCTGGCCAGTGCGTTTATCTCCTGGTCTATGTTGATGACATTATCATTACAGGCAGTGATCAGATCGGGATTGATCAGTTGAAAGAGCATTTATTCAATCAATTTCAAACCAAAGATCTTGGCAGACTTCGATATTTCTTGGGGATCGAAGTTGCACAGTCTAGGCGGGGCATTTCCATCTGTCAGAGGAAGTATGCACTGGATATCCTAGATGAGACTGGAATGTTAGGCTGTAAACCCATTGATACACCTATGGACCCCAATGTTAAGTTATTACCAGGACAGGGGGAGCCACTGCCAGATCCTAGTCGCTACCGCCGACTAGTTGGAAAATTGAATTATCTTACTGTGACAAGGCCAGATATCTCCTTCGCAGTGAGTGTTGCAAGTCAATTTCTTGATTCTCCCTGTGACTCCCATTGGGATGCAGTTATTAGAATTCTCCGATATATTAAAAAGGCGCCAGGAAGAGGTTTATTATATACAAATAAAGGGAGTTCAGAGATCTCTAGTTATTCAGATGCTGACTGGGCAGGTTCTCCTTCAGATAGACGATCCACCTCAGGGTATTGTGTTCTTTTCGGAGGAAATTTGATCTCTTGGAAGAGTAAGAAGCAAACTGTGGTCGCCAGATCCAGTGCGGAGGCAGAATATCGGGCAATGGCAAATGCAACCTGTGAGCTCATCTGGCTGAGACAATTGCTGAAGGAACTCCATCTCTGTGAACAAAGGCCTATGAAGCTCATTTGTGACAACCAAGCCGCTTTGCATATATCCTCTAACCCAGTCTTTCATGAGAGGACCAAGCATATAGAAATTGACTGTCATTTTGTTAGAGAAAAGATCCAGTCAAGGGAGATCGAGACAGCATTTGTCAATTCCAATGATCAACTTGCGGATGTATTCACTAAAGCTCTTAGAGGTCCCCGAATAGATCATATTTGTAACAAGCTGGGAGCTTTTGATATATACGCACCAGCTTGAGGGGGAGTGTTAGAAATAATATTATTTTATTATTATTAGAATAGTCTAGAATAGTCTAGATTGTGGGCTTGGCCCATTAGGTCATCCCATTAGGTCTTTTTAGTCTCTATAAATAGAGAGCCTCCTTGTACAGACTTACACACTTGAATATACAATATATTTCAGATTCAATTATACTGAATTCAGATATAGCATTATTCTGAGAGACACTTATACGTTGTAACATCCCGAGCGCTGATGAGGGCGGGGAGTGATCGCCGGTGCGAAAGGGCACAGACAAGGAGCGGCTCCTGACAGGCTTCCAGCGGGGGGGTTAAATGCATGACTGAATCGAATCGACACCCGAAAGAGAGGGATTCCAAAGACTGTGCAGGTGTGAGACTACACAGTTTGGGATAGCTTATAAGAATTAATTGGTACTACCTCTACTAACAAGATGCATCTGCTTTTCGGTAGCCCGGAACAGAAGAACTCCATAGTTAAACGTCCTTGACTTAGGGCAATTCTGGGATGGGTGACCTCCTGGGAAGTTTTCCCGGGAAGTGTGCGAGTGAGGACAAAGCACGATGAAAAGTCTCGTGTTAGTGTGTGGGTCAGTCATTGATCCTTGCAAGTTGCCAGGTGTTACAAGTGGTATCAGAGCCGGACCTCTCTTCCAGTACGGTGTGGTTCGAGGACAAACCAGGCGGAAGCTGGTGGGCATGTAACATCTCGAGCGCTGATGAGGGCGGGGAGTGATCGCCGGTGCGAAAGGGCACGGACAAAGAGCGGCTCCTGACAGGCTTCCAGCGGGGGGTTACATGCATGACTGAATCGAATCGACACCCGAAAGAGAGGGATTCCAAAGACTGTGCAGGTGTGAGACTGCACAGTTTGGTATAGCTTATAAGAATTAATTGGTACTACCTATACTAACAAGATGCATCTGCTTTTCGGTAGCCCGGAACGGAAGAACTCCACAGTTAAGCGTGCTTGACTCTGGAAGCCTGCCAGGAGCCGCTCCTTGTCCATGCCTTTTCGCACCGGCGATCACTCCCCGCCCTCGTCAGCGCCCGAAAGAGAGGGATTCCAGAGACTGTGCTGGTATGGGACGGTACAGTTGGGAATAGCTTATAAGAATTAATTGGTACTACTTATACTAACAAGATGCATCTACTTTTCGGTAGCTCGGAACGGAAGAACTCCATAGTTAAGCGTGCTTGACTTGGGGCAATTCTGAGAAGGGTGACCTCCTGGGAAGTTTTCCCGGGAAGTGTGCGAGTGAGGACAAAGCACGCTGAAAAGTCTCGTGTTAGTGTGTGGGGACAGTCGTTGATCTTTGCAAGTTGCCAGGTGTTACATAGGTCATCTGAAAATCTTTGAAAAAAATCATTTGAAGTTTCAATTCTATTGTTTTCAATATAATATTAATAATATAAATTAAAGGGTAAAAGGACAAGTTTCGATACACATGTGTGTGAATTAATAATATGATTTGCTTTGGAAATTTTTAAATTAACTTCTTTATTGGTTCATGTGTGTAGTGAGGGGTTAGAGGAGTGAATTGTGGCCATTGGATGTTCTATAAATGGTCAAAAAGATTAAAAGATCAAATCATGTGACTTTTTAAAATGTCCATGTGATAGTCATGGTAGCAGGTAACAACTAAATGCAAAAAGAGTTAGAATAATAAGAAACCTGCTTGAACTTAAATTTAATTTAAGAGTGATTCTTTCCTGGACCAGAAGATTGCAATCTACATATTTTATTCAATTGAGATGAAACTTGCTGTTTTTCTCGTTCATGAGAACTAGTTTGGTTACCTTTTTCTTCCCAATGGTAACCTTTTTGCCTTATGGATCACATTTATTATTTTATGCAGGGCCAATATAAATCAACATTAGTTTGTCCCATTTGTAGAAAGGTCTCTGTAACATTTGATCCATTTATGTACTTATCGTTACCTCTGCCTTCAACAGCAATGCGGACAATGACTGTATCTGTTGTTAGTAGTAGCATTGATGGAATTACTCAATTATCACCATATACCATTTTTGTCCCCAAAAGTGGTAGACTTGAAGATCTGACTCGAGCTCTTAGTATTGCATGTTCTTTGGAGGTCGATGAGACCCTATTAGTGGCTGAGGTATATCCTTTCAATTTAAACTGAAATCCGATATCAGTTCTCTTCTCCTTTGAGTTTCTTTATGGATACATATCAATCCTGTAGAAAACTATATCTCTGAAGCTAGGGCTGTGCTACAGGCAAACAACAACTGCATTATACGTTTTCTTGAAGATCCATCTGATTCATTATCCTTAATCAGAGATGCTGACAGACTAGTTGCTTACCGATTTATGAAAGATAATGGAGATGCCCCGTTGCTTGTCTTTATGAATCAGCGGATGGATGAGTAAGTTAATATGTTTCTCACATTGTTATTATTTTTTCTGGAAATGAGTTTCCATTAAAACTTCTCTTGTTTGTGATGAAAAATAATAGTTGGAGGGTGTCGTGAGCTAGTTTCTATTAAACTCTCTCAAATCAGTCTTTGCCTTAGATGGTTGTATTGTATTAGCTTAGCATTACAAGCAAATTTCTGGAAACAAGTCCAGCTTAACCTATTCACTGAGAAAGCTGGAAACTGGTATGACTCCAGTGCAGAAAACACCCAAATACAACAAATAGACCCTGATTTTGATCAATGTCCACCAATTTTTTTAAAGTCATTGACTTGGACACAGACCAGGTTAATCTACTTGATCCAGACACATTTTGCTGGGTAAGTTGTTAGTCTCATAGCTTTTGTTTTGATTTTTTTGGCCAGTTTGTGAGTGTTTTAAAAGTATGCCAATCCATTGCCTGGATTTGGTATTTGGTAATTCTTACCTACGGAGAGAGACATCACACTATCAGTGCGGCTAACTTATCTGCAAAAGTCAACACAGTTGCAGTGTTGCACCCAATGTATCATGAATTTATTTTTCCATGGAAGAAAACTTTTATAATTTCATTGTGTCTCCTGATTCTTGAACACTATGGGACTTGCATATTCTGTTGTCCGTATCAGGTAAAAATGAGGCACTGGCAAAAAAAACATTTGGATGAATGTATTAAATGGAATTTTGAAGTAAATATTTCTTTCCACAGAAATGATTAACGTGAATAATTGAATTATATAAATGCTTGTATTGTTAGGAAGAATTGATTTATGAGGTTTGTTTAAGTTTGGCAGTTTTTAATATGTTTTTCATATTTTCAAACCTAGTTTAGTTATTCATCTTGAGTCTTTAAAATGTATAAACAATAAACCTCTTTATTCAATTTCAATTACCTTATCAATATTTTGAAAGTTGCTTCTTACGGTAACAAATTCATAATATTTCAGTAATTTCAATTTTCAATTTCTATCTTATATAAATTAACTTGCCTACTTTGCCCCTTAAATCTCATTAGATATAGAGGCCATAATAGGAGTTTTTTTCCTCCCCTTTCTTTCTTATATTGAGGTTTTAAGTTGGCAGAAAATGCAATGTCTGAAATATTAAGTCTTATAGAAGAATAAAAGGATATGCAGTCATGAGCATGCCGAAAATACCTCCTCAAAGTTTTTCCCTGAACCCCTCACTATATCATTAGATCATACTGCTAGGATTCAGTAAGAAATGCAGGGGGTTGGTAAAGAGCATGCTTCTGCTAGGTATAATGATATTATTTGACACATATTCCGCATTGCGACAGATTAGATTTTCCTCTGCCATTGGCATTGTTAAACATGTACAGTTAATTTAATACTCACCACCAGTGAGTCAAAAAAAATTGGGTTCACATGCTCACATATACACATACATGCTATGTGTGGGCTTTTATTTTTCACTTGTGGTTTCCTTGCCATCAAATAAATTTAGCTTTTAACATTATATTGTCAGGCAGTACATCCATGGTAAATTGACTCCAAACAGGAAGGCATTTGGAATTCCTGTTGTGGCCAGAGTTTGCAATATTACAAATGGATCAGAACTCCGCAATTTCTATCTAAAGTTGCTCAGTCCATTTCGAATTTCAACTGAAGAGACCTTAGAAGATTTTGCCGTGTCTAAGAAAACAGAAGAAATTGCAGAAATGGAGGGGATCACAGCTCATAGTTTAGTATCAAATATGAATAGGTTGGGTTTAGATTGTCCTTCAGATGGAGAAATGGAGTTTTATGTAACAGATGAAAAGGGGATTATCAAGGGTTCTAATATATTAATGGATGAGCCACTGACAATAGATGGAAAGTTAAGGCTGCTGCATGTACTTGTATGTTGGTCAGATAAACAGATTCAACAATATGACACCCGACTTTTTAGTTCGTTGCCTAAGGTTTTCAAGTCTGGCTTTTTGGCAAAGAGACCTCAAGAGTCACTTTCACTATACAATTGCCTTGAAGCCTTCTTGCGAGAGGAACCTCTTGGACCAGAAGACATGTGGTTAGTTACCATTATAACATTAGGCAAAAGTACATTGTTTGGCATGCATTTTATTCTGCTCTATATGGAAGAGGTTCTATGCTAGATTACTATGCATTTAAGCTTTAGCATGCAAATAATTTTAGTATGTAACTAGTCAATGCACATTATACATTTTTCTAATATCTGTGAAGTTCAGTATTATCATCATCATTCATCACTGCCACAATCACTAGATTAGCATTTTCTCATGTTAGAATTGGATATTGTGTATTTATCCAAGTGTAGACTCTAGATTTTCCATCTATTCTGTGTTACATTCTTTGTGGTGCTTTATTAAAAATTGATCAGGGGAAGCAGCTTGTTTTGTAATGATTTTGATTACTGTTTCAGTTTTATTTTCAGATAGGTTAAGCAGATCAGAATATCAATCTTCTTCCTCCCTTCTGCCCTTCTATATTAGAGCATCTTTCATTTTTCCTACTTTTAATCATATAATTAGTACTCTAGCAAAACATTTTTGAAAACTGCACTTTCCATCTGTAAACATTGCTGCGTAAGTATTTCATATATTTCGGTCATTTGTCATTTGTTCTATATGTTAAGAGTCATACTCTTGGAACAAATCTATTAATGTTTATGAAGTATAAACTACTTGTCTTCAGTTCAAATTATTATTAAGTTAATAACGTCTAGAATTATGTATCTTGTGAATTAGTATTAATATTTTCTAAGGTGCAGTTTTCTGTAATGTTAGGTACTGCCCTGGCTGTAAAAGACATCGTCAGGCTAGTAAGAAGTTAGATCTATGGAGACTTCCTGAGATTTTGGTTATTCATCTCAAGAGGTTTCAATATAGTCGCTTCCTGAAGAACAAGCTGGAGACGTATGTTGACTTCCCCATAGATAATCTTGATTTGTCAGCTTATATTGCGCATGGGAACGACAAATATCACCGTTACATGCTTTATGCTATCAGTAACCATTATGGAAGTATGGGAGGTGGTCATTATACAGCATATGTCCATGTAAGTGTTATTCATTTTTTCATTACATTTTTCGTTTCTTAAGCGTATAGTTTTGGTTACGAGAAGTTTCACCCTGTAGAACATACTAATTTGGTGGAACATTAAAAATGATTTAAAGGACTCAAAAAGATTCTGCCTATTACCATGAAAGGTTGTCTTAATGTGTTTGGAGTAAAACTTTTATACTATTGGACATATAAAGATCTGTTAAAATGGATAGTGGATTGACTTTCAGGCCTATCCATTGGCTTATCTTGCAAATTTGCAAAGATTGTAAAAAGTTGATCTTATTTCGTTGATATTACTATTTTTATTTTGAAATTGGGGAAGGTTTTTGTTTTATAGTCTATAGATATATACACACACACATTTGCAACAGTTAATGTTCACCCTCATTGTTTTCTGCTCTTGCATTTAACGTAGCATGGTGGTGATCAATGGTATGACTTTGACGATAGCCATGTTCATCCCATCAGCAAGGAGAAGATAAAGTCTGCAGCCGCCTATGTTCTTTTCTACAGAAGACTTTTTTGAAGTATAAACATAATGGTAAAGTAGCATATAGTTAGAATGGCCTATTGAAGCTAGGTACCATTGATTAACATTATTGCCATCAATCTTACAGAGTATACCTAAGGTAGCATGCTTTTGTCATTCACATTTTTCAATTTTAGACTAGTTGAGTTTAAGAGTGTGGAAGAAATGAAAGGGATACTGTAAAACTTAGATATTGCATTTGATACATAGCGAGGGACAACACAAACACAACAGCACAAGTGATTGAGTCGCAAGACAATTTTTTGTGTTGTAAGTTGTTTGATGAACAATACATAGGACTAAAAGTTTTGTGATATCCATGGATAGAACAAAACAAAATTTATTGTAACACCCTTTGTGTTATGCATTATTTTGTGCGCAATAAAAGCTGGGATAATGAAGGGGTAGGAATTACTGGTCTTTTTCTATCTGTGATGTAAACAATATTTTATAAATTAGTTTAGTGGATAACAGAAATTTAGATATTTGTGTTGTCCCTTGAGGCCTTGAGTGTGTTTTGTCCTGTGCTTGCACTGTCAATCAAACAAGGTACAACTTTTTTGTCCTATGCTGATTTTTTTTTTAGCAAATCAAACGGACAAGAGGGAGTACTGAGGATTACATTTAAAGAGGTGAAAAGCATGCCTTGGGGCTGGAAGCATATTGTGTAGAGCTGTTTAACCATGCTAGAAGAAAATTTCCATTTCTAACTGTACCAACTCTTTTTGCGTTACAGTTATATCTTGTTCGCATTTTGTTTCTTTTTTTGAGACCAAATGAGATCTTGAATTTGATTTTGGAAAGTTAAGTGCATGTTTAAATTAGCTTATTTTGGAGGAAAATGTGTGTTTTTGCAATTTTCTGAAAGAGTGTTCGAAAAAAGTTATCTTTCAAAAAAGAAAAAAGAAAAAGGAAAGAAGCTGAAAGATGACATCCACTTAGATGTCATGTAGTTTAATTGATGTTCATGATATCACCTAATTGTCATTGTCCTTAGCTAACATCTTTCTCTACTATTTCAGTGGGAATAGTCGGCCCAACAGTTCTACACTTTGAAGTATTATAAGTAATAGCTCATTTTGTCTAGAATCTTCTGCTAATAGACAAAATCATTTTGATTTTCTATTTCCTTTTTTGATCCCCCAGAAAGTGACGTGTCAGTATTTCTTTTTTTTTTTTTTTTTTTCAAGAGTTGCAAAAGAAGTTCGAGAGAGAAAATTTGTTTTAACTGGCTTAAGTGTTAGCGCCTTGTACCTCTTAGGCGGATAGCTCAAGTATGAAAAACAAACAATGGTGTCACCATGCAGACTGCCCAAAACCTAATCACTACACCAATTTTAGTGGCTTAAAACATAACTTTCTTTTCCTATGCGCTTGAATAAAAGATGTACCTCATTCAAATGTCCATATGTATTTTGTGTCACTAAGATGTTTGGCAAAGGTAACATGAAGGTGGCATGATAGTAGTGCCTCTTAGTTGGATAGCACAAGTATGAACTGTATGATGAACATATTTTTTTTTTTTGAATACATAAACATATTTTCTTTTCCGAAGAAAACTCGTGCTTGAATAAATGATGCACCTCATTCAAATGTACAGATGTATCGTGTGACTTGCAGATGTTTAGCAAAGTAACATGAAGGTGGAACCTGATAGTTGTGCATCCAAGGATACCCAGTCCAAGACCATAAATAGAGTTTGTTTTAGTTAATGAGAATTCTATCATTGCAGGGGAAAATAAAGCACGGGTAAAGCAATGCAATTAGCAGCAACCATGTAGGTGCATGCTCGAAAAAGATTAAATTTTAAGAGATATTTTTTTTTTTAATTGTCTTAGACCTCTTCTAATAAAATTATAATTATAACTTGTTTTGAATATGAGATAAATTAATTCAGATACATTTATAAGTCAATGGTAACGATACTAATGTTAAAATTACAATTTTGCTCATAGAATTCGTTGTTTTTACTGAGAATTTAAGGAGAATAAGGGGGGGGAACTGAGGGAGAAAGGATCACAGACTGCTCAAATTGCCATTCTTACAGAAGCACTGGATTTTAGTAGTGGAACTGTAATTTCTGACATTTGTTAGTTCTCAGCAGTATGGACCACGTTTCCATTCTGGTGTTAAGATGTGCCAGCACCCCTCTTTGATTATTGAAGTACCCAAGTACTTGAGGCAGCCTTAAGCGAGTCCAGGACCACTGACTTTTCACATTCTGCTCAACATTCTGTGGTTCTCAGTTGTAAACATATGCTCCTCATTTGCCACACAAGTATTATTATTTTGACACCACCGGGTACCATTCACAAACTGCTAGGATTGGTCTGTTATCTTCGCACGTTTCAGTTATCTTATCCAGAAAGATAACAAGAGGAAAAAAGGTCAAGAGGAAAAAAGGTCAAGTTGAAAAAAGATTAAACTAATGATACAAGTCAATTTTTGTTTTGGTTGTGGGTTGCTGAACTTTCAATTTGTGATGAGATTCTTCAGAAAGCAATTAGGTGTAAGCAGTTTTTGGTAAAATTTTACCAATCCTTCCAACAAGAAAACTTGAAAAAAATTTGTAGCAACTAAAATCTTCAGTTCTCTCCACGTATAGCTTATGCAAGTACGGTTTAGGAAAAAGAAACTATTGTATAACTTCAAAGCTATCCCAGCATGGTTCTCTCTGTGTCCTGTCACTTTAGTTTCCAGTTATCTGCCTCGTTTCCTTTAAAGACTAAAAAACTTTAAAATTAACCTCCGCTAAGTGGCTGCCATAGGATTTTATTCTTAGAAGAGATTAAATTAAGAGCAGAATTATATTTGCAACGTACTCCGGAAGTGTGTACTCCCTGGAGTATATAATGTAGTTTTGTAAGAATATATACTTCGAGAAGTACAAATACATAAGTGTGTACTCTTCAGAATATATAGCATAGTTTGTAAATACGAGGTACCACTTAAATTAACACTAGCACAAAAGTTACACCCTATCTCCCAGCATTTATTCTTCCTTATTCAAAAGCAGGACTCTATCAGAAAACTCTCAGTCAGTCTCTGCACTAGTACTAGTACTACAATAGCTAATCAATTCACTGTTTTGGTGTTTAAGATTAATGAAGATTTGAAACGATGAAGTAGTTTGTGGGTCAGGATCAATGCCCACTTTCTTGTATTGGTCCTAACCAGCGATGCTGTGATGGCTTTCGCGTTTGAGCAAATACTGTTTCCACTCTCAACGATGTATAGGCCATTCAATGTTTGGTACGTATATCACCGAATATAGTACAAGTTTATTATGATAGCATTTTATTACTTAGAGTTTTAATGTTTCTTGTATTGTAGGAAATAAATTTTATCTTCTATACACACATAAAAGTGTGCAGAGTTCATGTGAGAATAAGAAAGAGAAAGGAAAAACACGAACACTACACAGTTTCATTTATATACAGAGGAGATAAATTTATCTCCTAGAACATGAGAAAAAAAAAAAGGCCTATTATGTATGTTACATTTCTCGAATTATAATGTTATATGGCTTAGAGAGTGTGATAAAGTTGGATAGAATAAGAAATCAAACATCATTTTTACTTTGTTATCGTCAAATTAGTGTTATCAATTCCACCATCAACCTATCATTGTCGGCACCCCTACTTTCACTATCACCATTACCTTCAATGGTGTGCATGGCGATGGATGGCTTAATTTGTTCCAGCTCTAGTGCTCAATTTCTCAGTTTGCTCCGATACTGTGTGTACCTATACCTACATATACCTTTTTAGATTTTTGAAAATGCTGCATCTTACACTCGTATATATCCAGTATCTTACATTTATGTACCCATGCAACATAGCATCAGTGTCAATTTAGGAAGAAGGCTAATTTTTGTTTAATACCTGTAATTTCAATTTTAAGTATTTTCTTACGCAATAAAGAATTCGTTTATACGAGTCATTTGACCTGTATAAGGTACCACATAAAACGTTTCTACACTCAAAATATAATTAGTCAAGGTATTAGCTAATATATATATATCTTTGACTCTAGAGTAAAACTTATAACTCTTACTTTTCATCTCAACCGTTGATTTTCGTCCATCTAACGGTTATCTATACCAATTAATTAATTATTAATTTTAAATAAATAATAACCGTTAGATGGACGGAAATCAATGGTTGAGATGGGGAGTAAGACTTGTAAGTCTTACTCTGGAGAGTCAAAAGATCTCTCCCCTATATATATATATATATATATATATATATATATATATATATATATATATATATATATCTTAGATGCGTTTTCATCTCCCCATTTTATTTCAAAGTAAAAAAATAAAAAACTCACCATTGATTTTCGAAGTAGAGAAATTAAGATAAATTGGTATACGTACCGTGCTAAGATTATAAACTACTCTTCACAAAATCTAGGAGAAACTATATATATCCTCTGTTGCACTGACACAAGACACGGGATACGACACGACACAGGATGATACGACACGACACTCCAACACTTAATTCTAAAAAATGTTAAATTTCGACATATTATGACACATTTTGATATTATATAATATTTTTAATTTATGTAGTGTATATTATATATAATTTTCAATAATTTAACAAAAAAATAAAACTAAACTTATAATATCCATCAATTTTGCAAAGAAATATAAGATATCTCAAATATTTATATTAAACTCAATAAAAGAGTAATCGTAATCCAATGAATCTAATAGTTGGAACTCAAAATGCAACGCAACGTAACCTTTAAACCTTTTATGAATCTTTGCAACGAGCATTGGAGTAGCGGAAAGTGTTGGACACGACACATCAAGAATTTTGAAGCGTCAGTACTTCGTAGGAAATATCTTCCTTATGCAAGGGCACAAAAGCAACTAGGAGAGAGGAAACAAAACATCCATACTTCCTTGAGAAAGGTTGTAACCAAGCATTGTCAGCAATTAACTCTTTCTTTCTCTATGGGATAGCTTACAATAATATACCCTGCCAAGCTAGCTTTATCTCCTTCTCTAAAAGAAGAATACGAGTCACGAGTGGCTTTATAAATAAGAGTATAAATGAATCACACGATCTATTAAGAGTTTATAGTTTGGTCTATCTGAAGCTAGACTTGACCCAATTTATTAAATAAAACAAAACAGGCTCGAACATAAAAAAATAAATAAATAAACTTATTTTTAAAACCGCCTATAGGTCTATTTCTCAAGGCTTGGTGTACACCCATATATATATGGCCATATTAGTATTATTTATTTTAATTTAAAATAAAATATTTAAATAAGT